GCTTCTGTTAGGTCCCTGCCATCTTTGTTTCTTATCATACCAATTTTTGCCTGAAATTTACCTCCAATGTTTCTAATTTTCTGGAAGAGGTCTCTTGTCCTTCCTATTCTGTTGTCTTCCTCCACTTCCATGCGTTGCTTATTTAAAAATAGTTCCTTATCTCTTCTGGCTAACCTCTGGAATTGCGCATTTAACTGGGCATATCTCCCCTTTTCACTGTTTCCTTTTGCTTTCCTCCTTTCTTGGGCTACTTCCAGTATCTCAGCAGACAACCATTTTGCCTTCTTGGTTTTCTTTTTCTTTGGAACGTACTTTGTTGCCGCCTCCTGAACAATGTCGCGGACTTCTGTCCATAGGTCTTCTGGGACTCTGTTTACTAAATCTAGTCCTTCAAATCTGTTCTTCACTTCCACTGTATATTCGCTAGGAATGTTAGTGAGATCATATCTAACTGGTCTGTGTATTTTCCCTGATCTCTTTAGTTTTATTCTAAATCGTGCAATAAGAAGTTCATGATCTGAGCTACAGTCAGCCCCAGGTCTTGTTTTCGCTGACTGGATGGATGTCCGCCACCCTTGGCTGCAAAGGATGTAGTCAATCTGATTTCGGTGTTGACCATCTGGTGAGGTCCATGTATATAGCCGTCTTTTAGGTTGTTGGAAGAGAGTATTCGTTATACACAGCGAGTTTTCCTGGCAAAATTCTATCAGCCTGCGTCCCGCTTCATTTTGTTCTCCCAGACCATGCTTGCCTGTGATCCCAGTTGTCATTTGACTTCCCACCTTGGCATTCCAGTCTCCTGTAATGAAAATAATGTCTCTTTTTGGTGTATTATCCAGGAGGTCCTGCAGATCCTCATAGAACTGATCTACTTCTGCTTCTTCAGCAGCTGTGGTTGGGGCATATATTTGGATCACTGTAATGTTGAAAGGCTTTCCTTGCACTCGAATTGAGATCATTCTGTCATTTTTTGGGTTGTATCCAAGCACCGCTTTAGCGAATTTCTTATTAATTATGAAGGCTACTCCATTTCTTCGATGTTCCTCTTGTCCGCAGTAGTAGATCTGGTGGTCATCTGATGTGAAGTGGCCCATTCCAGTCCATTTCAGTTCGCTGACCCCCAGAATATCTATCTTTAGTCTTGACATCTCACCAATAACAACATCCAATTTGCCCTGGCTCATAGATCTTACATTCCAGGTTCCTATGGTGTGTTGATCTTTAGAGCATCGGATTCGTCGTTCACCTCCAGTACCGTCGGCCGCTAGCCTTCCTTTCGGCTTTGAGCTAGCTGCGTCATCACATCTGGGGCTAGTTGAACTTATCCTCTGCTCCTCCCCAGTAGCATTTTGGCCATCTTCCGACCTGGGAGTCCCATCTTCCAATGGCATACCGACATATCTCTGGTTGTACTGGTCCATTTAGTTTTCTTGGCAAGGATACTGGAGTGGTTTGCCATTGCCTTCCCCAGGGATCACGCTTGGTCTGCCCTCTCTGCCACAACCGTCCCGTCTTGGGTGGCCCTTCACGGTTTCGCTCATGACATCATTGAGGTGCTCAAGCTCCAGCGCCCCGACAAGGCGATGATCCTTTGCTGAAGGTGGGAAATAATAATAATACTAATAATAATAATCTGCTTTGAACTGGAATATATGGCAGTGTGGATTCAAGTAACCCAGTGCAAAACAGATATTTTGGCTTGATATTCTGAGTTATATGGCTGGGTAGAAGGGCCCTGGGAAACTGTACTCCAAATATTGCACCATAAAATGTTCAAAATAGTAAAAAAAATACAGCATCGTATCAAATCATTTATGTTGGATAAGTGAGACTCTACTGTACATATAATGATAGTATCATAATATTCTTCATTCATTCAGTCGTTTCTGACTCTTTGTGACCTCATGGACCAGCCCAAGTCAGAGCTCCCTGTCGGCTGTCACCACCCGCAGCTCCTTGATAGTTAAGCCAGTCACTTCAAGGATGCCATCAATCCATCTTGCCCTTGGTTGGCCCCTCTTCCTTTTTCCTTCCATTTTCCCCAGCATCATGGTCTTCTCTAAGCTTTCCTTGTCTTCTCATGATGAGGCCAAAGTACTTCATCTTTGCCTCTACTATTCTTCCCTCCAATGAGCGGTCGGGCTGTATTTCCTGAAGTATGGACTGGTTGGATCTTCTCGCAATCCAAGGCACTCTCAGAAATTTCCTCCAACACCACAGCTCAAAAGCATCTCTCTTCCTTCGCTCAGCCTTCCTTGTGGTCCAGCTCTCACATCCGTAGGTTACTACAGGGAATACCATGGCTTTGACTAGGCGGATCTTTGTTGCCAGTGTGATGTCTCTACTCTTTACTATTTTATCGAGACTGGATATTGCTCTCCTCCCAAGAAGTAAGTGTCTTCTGATTTCCTGGCCACAGTCTGCATCTGCAGTAATCTTTGCACCTAGAAATACAAAGTCTGTCACGGCCTCCACATTTTCTCCCTCTGTTTCCCAATTTTCGATCATTTTTCTTGCCATAATCTTGATTTTTTTTTTATGTTTAACTGCAACCCAGCTTTTGCACTTTCTTCTTTCACCTTGATTAGAAGGCTCCTCAGCTCCTCCTCACTTTCGGCCATCAGAGTGGTGTCATCTGCATATCTAAGATTGTTAATGTTTCTTCCAGCAATTTTCACCCCAGCCAGAAAAAAAATTACAATATAACACAATATAATTCCAATAATACAATATAATATTGTAATGCACAATACAGTAATATTAATATTGTGCTATGTGAATATAATATATTGTATATACATATATTGATGTTATATTATAATATAATCCAATATAATTCTAATAATACAAAATAATAAACATTGTAATATAGGTAAAGGTAAAGGTTTCCCCTGACATTAAGTCCAGTCATGTCTGAATCTGGGGTTGGTGCTCATTTCCATTTCTAAGCCGAAGAGCCGGAGTTGTCCGTAGACACCTTCAATGCCATGTGGCCATCATGACTGCATGGAGCACTGTTACCTTCCTGCCGGAGCGGTACCTATTGATCTATTCACATTTGCATGTTTTCGAACTGCTAGGTTGGCAGAAGCTGGGGCTGACAACGGAAGCTCACGCCGCTTCCCACATTCGAACCTGTGACCTTTCGGTCAAGAAATTTAGTATCTCAGCAGTTTAACCCACTCTGCCACCGGGGGCTCCTACACTGTAATATCATAATAGTAATATTGCACTATGCGAATATAATATATTGTATATACATATATTGATATTATAGTATAATCCAATATTTCTAATAATAACACGATATAATATACATTGTAATATAGTAATAGTAATATTGTGCTATGCAAATATAATATACTGTATATACATATATTGATAATATAATACAATAAAATCATAATAATATAATATAATATATATTGCAATATAATACTAATATTGTGCCATGCAAATATATAGTATATACATGTATATATGGGTGCTAGAAACAACATCATACGAAAGCTGACTGGCACAACCTGGGGATCACAACCAGACACAGTGAAGACATCTGCCCTTGCGCTATGCTACTCTGCTGCTGAGTATGCATGCCCAGTGTGGAACACATCTCACCACACTAAAACAGTAGATGTGGCTCTTAATGAGACATGCCGCATTATCACAGGGTGTCTGCGCCCCACACCAATGGAGAAATTACACTGCTTAGCCAGTATTGCACCACCTGACATCCACCGGGAAGTAGCAGCCAATAGTGAAAGGACCAAGGCAGAGACATCTCCAGCTCATCCCCTGTTTGGGTATCAGCCAGGATGTCAACGACTTAAATCAAGACATAGTTTTTTTAGATCTTCAGAGACACTCGCTGGAACACCTCAGCAAGCGAGAGTCCAAAAGTGGCAGGCTCAAACCCAGAAACTCAACCAATGGCTGATAACAAATGAGAAACTCCCCCCTGGGCACACGGAAAACTGGGCGACTTGAAGGCGCTGAACAGACTGCGCTCTGGCACCACGAGATGCAGAGCCAACCTTCAGAAATGGGGCTACAAAGTGGAATCCTCGACATGCGAGTGTGGAGAAGAGCAAACCACAGACCACCTGCTGCAATGCACCCTGAGCCCTGCCACTTGCACCATGGAGGACCTTCTTGCAGCAACACCAGAAGCACTCCAAGTGGCCAGATACTGGTCAAAGGACATTTAATCAACTACCAAACTCATAAATTTTGTATTTTGTCTGTTTGTTTGCTTTGTTCTGTTAGAAATGTAATATAATTGACTGGCTGCCCTGACATGACAAAAAAAAGCCACCGGGGGCTCCATTGTAATATAGTAATACTATATTATTATATATATTAAATTGTATTATATTATCAATATTATATGTATATACAATATATTTGCATGGCGCAATATTAGTATTGTAATATAGTAATACTAATATTGTGCCATGCAAATATATTGTATATACGTATAATATTGTAATATAGTAATACTGATATATTAAAAATAATCACTACTGATAATATAATATATAATGATTTTATTGTTGTATATTTGCAATGTTTTTGATTGTGAGCCATTATTTTCCCATGGAAGAATGGGATTTTACAATGTCTGTAGCCTTCTGTGACAAAAGAGTGCTGGTGCCTCACCAACATAGCAGTTAAAGCAGTATCAAACCGCATTTATTCAGCAGTGTAGATGCATCTTGGACCTTGGGTGATGTTTTACTCTGGTCGAGGCGTGGCAAGGACCACCACCATGTGGGCTAGCGCAAACCCCCCTTCAATGGCGCCCGTCTTCTCCCAACAAAAGGGAGAGCTGCAGTGCCCCCCTCCCACTCTCCCCATTGCTGCGCCTGCTGCCACACCCAGCTCCTCTCCGGAGCCCCCTCCCTCTCCCGCTACGTGTCTCTTTCCACCGCCGTCCAATCAGCGCGCCGCTCCTGATGCCCGCGGGCCAATGGGAGCACGGACCGCCCGCCAGTTTATAAAACCTTTGTCTGGGCGCCCGGCCCGCCTTCCTGCCTTCCCTCTGCGTCGCCTTCGGAGGATCGAACCTTGAGCTCCCCAACGTTCTGAGTCTTAAAGGAGCGGCGCCTCTCTGAAGCAAAAGGAACGAGGGAAAAGTAATTAAGAGGGGGGAAAGTGTTATAAAAGCCAGGCAAAGATGAGGGAAATCGTGCACATTCAAGCTGGGCAATGTGGTAACCAGATCGGTGCAAAGGTGAGGATGGGACAATGCGGTATATATTATTAAATTGGGGTTGCAAAAAAGAAAAGAAAAAAGTAATTCAAGCAATATAATTTTTCATAATTCAGGAAATTATTATTTTAAAATGTGGCCGAAAGGAAGTAGTCGGCAGAGCTGCACATTGGATGTAAAATATTGGCTTGGGAGGGGAAGGACTCGTTTTAATTCCTTTCAACGACAAGGAAAGGAACGTGGGGCTGTAACGCTGCTTCCGTTCCGTACAAAACGCTTTCTTATTGCAAAGTCATTTTTCTTGGGGGCGGCGGCGCATTGGATGTAAAATATTGGCTTGGGAGGGGAAGGACTCGTTTTAATTCCTTTCAACAACAAGGAAAGGAACGTGGGGCTGTAACGCTGCTTCCGTTCCGTACAAAACGCTCTTCTATTGCAAAGCCATTGTCTTTGGGGGGGGGGAGGGGGAAGGGGGAAACGAAAGCTGGGTGGGGCGGTAACGAGATCCAAACGCTGTGAAAAGGAACGACGTTAAATAAGAACGCATCTTTATGCTTCCTCTTTCCCATTCCTATAATCACAGCGTTTTCCCAATCTCCAAGATGTTATTTCTCCCGCTTAACTACTCTGCAATGGAAAGTAACGCGTTACTTCCGCCTAAGGGGCGTGGAATTGGTTTCCAAAATCACATTTTCCCCAAATTTAACTACTTTGCAACGGAAAGTAACGCGTTGATTTTAGAAGGAACGGCGTTACTTAGCTGGCGTGGAATTTGCTTCCATAATCACAGCATTTTCCCCCAAATCTCCCAAGTTCTTTCCTTTCGTGTAACTACTTTGTAACTGTGTAACGCGTTACATCTCCCAAAGGAACGGCGTTACTTAAGGGGCGCGGGATTCGCTTCCTCTTAATATCCATTCAGGTGGTGAAAAGGGAGGGAAGGCGCCCCAAATTCCCCGCCAACTAACGTCCTCCTTAACGTTTTTAGCGCCAAAGGCGCTGCAACCAGGAGGAGGGATTTGAAATTTATTTTTTTTTTGCCAAAGGAAGTGGGAGGGGAGAAAAAAAGCATGAGGTTTCCCGCACGAGGCTCTGAAGTGTGGGGTGAAAATAGCGGGCTTTATCTCAATACCTTATCAATACCTTTTAACCATTGCTCTACAGTCTCTTTGTAATAAACACACATAAGGGTTGGAGTTGGAGCAACAATGAGTAGCCTCTCCATTGTAATATGAATGCAGTTTGCTCCCATTATTAACCGCTGTGGTTCAAGGCTGTGGGAGTCCTGGGATTTGTAGTTTGGTGACGCATAGAGTTGGAAGAGACCTGATGGGCTATCCAGTCCAACCCCCCTGCCAAGAAGCAGGAAAATTGCATTCAAATCACCCCTGACAGATGGCCATCCAGCCTCTGTTTAAAAGCTTCCAAAGAAGGAGCCTCCACCACACTCCGAGGCAGAAAGTTCCACTGCTGAATGGTTCTCACAGTCAGGAAGTTCTTCCTAATGTTCAGATGGAATCTCCTCTCTTGTAGTTTGAAGCCAAAGTCAAAGAAACTATAAATCCCAAACAAAAAGAAAAGCCACGGGGCAGAGAGTTCCACTGCTGAACGGCTCTCACAGTCGGGAAGTTCTTCCTAATGTTCAGATGGAATCTCCTTTCATGTAGTTTGAAGCCAAAGCCAAAGAAACTATAAATCCCATACAAAAAAGCCAAAAGCCAGGCATGTGTTCCTCAAAAGGAAAAAAAAGTGCCTACCTGGGAAATACAATGTGTCTTATTTTAAAACTGCTTCAGAGACACAGATAAATTAGTTACTAAGTAGTTAAGGAACTGTTATTTAGTAACACTTAAGTATGGAGGAAAAGATTTATAGCCAAAGCAGATGATGTCAATTTCTTTGAGCTATTCGGATCCATAGAAGAGCTTTTTTGTAACCAGCTCAAATATAATAAAGATAACGTTAGTGTTATTAATAGTATTGCTACTAATATATACAGGGTGTACACCAGGTATAGGCAAACTTTGGCCCTTCTAGTTTTTTTGGACTCCCAACTCCCACAATTCCTAACAGCCTCAGGTTCCTTCCTTTTCCCCCTCAGCCGCTTAAGCGGCTGAGGGGGGAAAGGAAGGGGTCTGAGGCTGTTAGGAATTGTGGGAGTTGGAGTCCAAAAAAACTAGAAGGGCCAAGTTTGCCCCTGCCTGATGTACACCCTCATATCCAACTGATAATAGTTATGAACACTTAAGTTGCATACATTTATATTGAATGATACATGTCATAAGAACGGTTTAACCAGTTACAAATTCCATCTTAAATTGTAATGTTTTGACAGATTTTTCAGATGGTTGTTGCTGCACAAATTGACCTTGCAGTCTCTCTCAAGTGACACTTTCTAATATTTAGGGTGTTTATGGGTATGTGTTTTTTTGGGGGGGGGGGGAGGAATAGGAAAATAAAAGAAAATAATAATCTGCTCAGAGTCACCTCTGGGCTGAGAGGGGTGGTGTATAAATATAGTAAGTAAATAAATAAATATTATGGGGGGGAAAGAAAAATAATCCAGTATTATAAATGGCTATATTTGGTCTTTGTTCCACATTTCTCAACTGACTTGCTTCCAGACTGCTTTTCTACCTCCCTTCCTTTAAGGAAAATCTGTTCCCATCATTTGCGTGTGTGTGTCTGTGGAGAGAGAGAATATAGTATAATAGTATAATAACTGCCTCGAGTCGCCTATGGGCAGAGAAAAGCGGTATACAAATATAGTAAATAAATAAATAAATAATACACACATACATATATCTACAAACACACACACACAAATGGTGACCATATTATATTAACACACATCCAGCATAATGTAATAACCCCAAATTATAAGCTATTATGGGTGTATACATTTTTGAGGGGATGCCCTATATATATATTATTTTGCAAAGAGATTCCTTCCTAAATGGCTTCATGAGCAAAATGGCTTCTCTTAACAATCCCTCCTTTACGGAGATTAAATTCCCTTCATTTTGATATATGTATACACACACAGAAAGAGAATCTATATAAATAAAAATGTAGTGTTCGTTTGTGGGATTAGCATAGCTCTAAAACCACTGGATTAATTGACACCAAATTTGGAAACAATACACCTATCAAGCCAGCAAGTGACCATCACTCATAAAAATACTGAAAAACACAGTGGAAGAGACTTAAAAAGCCAAAAAATAAAAAATATATTACAACACATGCGCAAAACCACACACACACACACATATATATGCAAACACACATATATACACATATAACCAAATATATATTCACACATATACACATACGCAGACTGGGACACAGCAATGCATGGCAGGGGATGGTTAGTATGCACACACACACACACAAATATATATGTGTTTGTGTGTATATATATATGTATGTATGTATATGTTGTGGCCACACTTGTGATACATTCACACATGCATGCCACAAAGCTCAGCTTTTATGTAACCCCCCCTCCCCCCCAAAACTAATGTTTAGGATCCAACTCTCCTTCCTTTTACCCTTCTCGTTTACAATATCTTCCCCCCCCCCAATTGAAAATGAGTTTTTTGCACAGCTTTGGGGTCTCTACACTATAGAATTAATGCAGTTTGAGGGCACTTGGACTGCCTTGGTTCAATACAATGAGATTTGTGGCTTGGTGACACACCATAGAAGGCTAAAGACCTTCTAAAACTACAACTCTCGTGATTCCATGGCAGCTAAAACTGTGTCAATGAGGCCTTCCAACAGGGTCAAAAGAGAGCTGCGTTCTCTGTATCTCAGTTTGTATAAATATGTGACTTGAGACATGGAATCCAGAGGTTTGGCTTTTCTCTCTTCCTCCCCGCCATTTCCTTCCCCTTTTGCTGATGAGCGGATGCCATGTTTGCCGCCAATGGCCCGTCCCCCTTTTCCTGTCTGACCCGCCCCTCTCTTTTTTCCGCCCTTCTTTGTCTGCAGGCAGCGAGCACATGGCTCAAGGGCCAGCGCCCTCCCTGCCACTTCCCTCTTTTGCATTCCTGCCTGGAAATATATTTTTCCCGTGAGCCTTCTCCCTGTTATTCCATAGTTTAGTTCCCCTTTTAAAAGGGGTTGCTGTTTCCACAGAGGGATATATCCGTATTGTAGAATGAATGCAGTTTGATCCCCATGTGTCTGCCCATGACTCAATGCTATTGAATCATTCTAGTTTAGCCTTCTCTGGTGACTCCACAAGCTGCAAATCCCACAGTTTATGCTGTGTAGATGTATCCTGGATCTTGGTGGCAGGAATTGCAGGAGTTGAATCCAAAACACCTGGAGGGCCGAAGTTTCCCATGCCTGGTGTAGAGCCATTTTATACTAGCAAGGATGGACCGTTATCTGCAATGGCTGCTAGTTGGGTGGGACTTTCTAGTAAGGAGTGGTTGCAGGTCGTAGCATAAGTAGCATAAAAATGTTGCCGCACTCAGTCTTTATCATGCGTTCCTTTGTTCTGCATGTTTCCCCCCCTATTTTGCATATCTCCATTGCAAGAGTCCCTTTTCAAGCAAAAAGGGGAGCCCGGTCATCTCCAAGCTGGCTCCCAGCCATCCTAAAATGGCTCCCTGACTCCACGCTGTAGTGCTGGCGGGTGCGCATGGCTCTTGAACTGGCTCGAAGCCAGGCTCAATTGCTCTTCTACAGGGCTTTCCTATAGGCAGCCCTTTCCTTGAAACCAAGGATAACAGTTTTATTTATAGGCAAGAGACACTCAAGGCTTTAAGGCGTGTCTCCTAAAGCAGCAGTCTCAACAATGGCGGACAGGCATCTCAGCCTGCCTTTCACATTCGGTTCCTTAAATATATCCCCCTCACCAAAGTACCCCACTAAACAAAAACCCATGTATTTGGTTTTGTGCCGGATTAGATCCTTTTTCTAGACATATTCCATCTTTTTCTCTATTCACAAGCATACGATGGTACAAAATGCATAACATGGATGTACCAGAGCTTTTCCCCTTAGTCTCA